TATATGAAAAAAAAAGTTGTATAAAATCTTCAGGAAATATAATCAACAATTTATAATAAGAATTGATATCTTTTTCAAGTGAGTCTTCAGAAATTTAAATCACTTGTATTCAGACTCAGGAATAGCCAACATGCTTAACTTACAATTTTATTATAATGCCAGCCCTCCTATTAAAAACAGTGCTTACTTTATAAATTTACTTATGATTGATTTTCATAAAAGAACTAAACATTCTTCTCCCTTTCAACAATACTTCCAAAGTCACTGGCATATTAAAGGGATATTTGCACATCCACGTTTATTGCTGTACCATTCACAAGAGCTAAGATATATACTCAACCTAGACACCCGTCAACAGATGAATGGCTAAAGAAAATATGGTATATATACAAAATGGAACATTACTCAGCCATAAAAATAATATCCTATTATTTGTAACAAAATGAGTGGAAATAGAGGACTTTTATGCTAAAAAAATAAATCATACACAGAAAGACAAATACTGCATGTTCTCTCTCATATGTGAATACTACAAAAAAGTTGATCTGAATATAAAAATAGTGATTATTAGAGGGTGGAAAGGGGAGGGAAGGGAGGGGGTGGGGAGAGAGGCTGGATAAAGGGTACCAAGACAAGGTTAGACAGGAGTAATAAGTTCCAGTGTTCTAGTTTGATTTCAATGGCTCGTGGGTGACTAGAGTTCACATAACCTATTACATACTTTAGAAATAACTAGAAAAGAAAAGCTTGAAGGCTTCAAACACAAAGCAATAACAAGGAGATGCAAACATCCTGATTTGATCAGCACACACTGCATAGATGTATTAAAATATCCCATTGTATCTCATAAATATGTATGATTATCATGTTAATCAAAAAATTTTTGAGATGTTTAAGGAGATGAAAATGCTAACTCTCCTGATTTGATCATCACACACTGTGATCATCATACACATTGTATCAAATTATCACACCGTACCCTATAAATATGTGCAGTTAAAATAATAAGAAAGATATTTCCATGTCCAAGTCTATTCAAAGGAAAATCAGCACTAATAGTCCTCTATAATATGACTTTTAGTAGAAAGTAACAGTTCTTGGTGTGAAACTCACTTACTCATTCACTCACATGTTTATCAGGGAGCAGGGCCTATGGCTGAGATTGGAGAGCACTGGACAATAAAAAAAAAAAAAATCTAGCATCATGCAAAAGTCAAGATGGAAAGGTAAGACCCCAGTAGGAGATTATAAAATGAAATTAAAATTCAGGCTTCTTTAGCAACTCAATGTGTAACTGGTCATCACTTTTCAATTATACTCTGCCTTGGTATAACTAGAAAACATGATATAAAACAAAAGTAAAAATGTATTTTGATACTTAAAGGAAATGTTGAAAAAATAAGACTCACTTAAAAGACAACAGACCTCAGTGAAACATACCTATTATTCATTATTAATCAAAATGCTGTTGATAATATCCTACACTAGGAAGACTTCCTGGGCAGGGAAGAGAGGGCTCAGTCACTCAGATTGATGGCATGGTAAATAAAGAGCTCTTCATCCCTCATTTTTGCCCAGATCTGTAATGTGACAGGAAAACTTGCAATCCTACTCTGAAGGCATTCCTCCAACAATTATTTTAACTGCTACTTTATTTACCACAATGCAATAAACAGTTGTTGACAAGGAACTAAAAGTCTTGAATTTGATATCCAGCACAGCTACTCACCAGCAAGTCCTTTATGTCATTACATTTACAACTTCTTAGTCTCAACTTCCTAACCTGTACATTGGCTTCAGATTCTCCACTGACCTCAATGGGTTATTTTGACACCACAGAGAAGCACAGAAATGCTAGTTATTCTCCTCCATAACAACCCAACTTCAGATTACATGAGGAAAAGAAAATGTCACAATGTGTGTAATTTCCCTAAACTATCTTATTTGGGAGAAATAAAAATAACTACACAATTGAATAGAACTAAGATTGTAGAGCCAACATCACGTAGTAACAGCTCAACTGAGTTCTAGGGCCAGCTTTCCATAGTCATAATTATAGGACCACAGTCAAGTTATATATTTTTCCAAAACTTAGTAACTATATAGCACAAATCAAAGTAACATCTATCCTATCAATATGTTAGTTTTGTTGTGAGGCTAAGAAAGTACTGTGTAATAGTAATCTTAAGGACTGTAAAACATTATTTAATTATGGGCAATAACCAAATCAGTACAAGAAAATTGTTAACAATCACAAGTGGCCCTTGGGCTTCTTTTTAACTCTTCAGATAGTGAGCATAACACACATATCCTACACTAAGAATTATTCTATAAAATGTCAACAGTACACTTTAAATGTGGATATTAAAAGTATATGTCACTGAAATCACATGGCTTAAGTCCCATGCTATTAGCTACACCTTTTTATAGAAGAAAAAACAATTTAAAAATAAGCATTGATCTTGTGAAAGTAATAGTATATACATAGTGCTCTCCCCTC